GAAGAAGGATGTCGGACGGAGAAGAGGAGGTCCTCAGTCATCATTAATGCGGAGGAGGAAGGCGACGGATTGTTCTCAGTCTAGGGGTGGTCCCTCGTCTGAGGTGGATTTTCACATGTGGACAGCGGTCACCAGTACCACTATCGATCTTAGCTGTCATCTCAGGCTGTTAATCTTATTTGCGTTCACAATTTCCGTCTGTTTTCTCCCCCCGCCGGATCTGTGGATGAACCCAAGTGGTATTTCGTCGACTCCGGATTGTGCTGTTTGTCCACAATGGACTCGCAGGTGTTAGAATAAAGACTCGTTTTCTTAGACATGGTTAAATTGTAAACTGTTTTGTACCTGAGCCAGAAGTCTGACGACGGGCTTGAGAGCCCATCTCGAAGTAAATAATAAATTCGTTTAGTTTCCTAAGAATTTTTTTTACTTCTGATTAAATTTCTTAGGATGCCGATTTTTTATGGCCATATATTTAGGAGCAAAGAAACTTTACTGAGCCCTTTACGGCTTGTTAACTGTCATCAGCCAGCTATACCCGACCTTGCGGTTGGAGTACCATGTGCTATAAAGTTGCGTATCGAAGGCTGAAGATGGCTATTAAATCAGAAATGACCATTCAAGTTTCCTTTGGCTGTATTAGCAATCTCTGCATGTATATAAGTATGGCAAAGGAGTTAGTCTGTACTCCCGGCATGGTTACTAACTAAAGGCCGAGACACATGTGTATAGTAGTCTTTGTCTGTTTTTGAAATCCGTCACCCATCGGTAGCTTTCCTAGTTTGGGAAATCAATGGGCTATTGTACATCCACGGCTATGTAAGTAGATATGTATAAGGCTTTTGTTTTTCTTCGTCTTCAGGGCCTTGATCTTCAGGGAGCGGGTCTATCCGGAGGTCTCAACTGCCACCTGCCCTCAATATCCGCCGACCAATCCCGCAGTCCCTCCTCCTCGGCCTCGTCGGTGTGTAAAGACAGTCAGTTCTTCGACTGGCAGTGGGTTCCGGCTGTTCCCCTCATAGCTCACGAGGGCGGAGTTGGTGTTGGTGTGATTCCCATCTATTAACAGAACTCAACGATCCTTTTCCCGTCGTCCTCATTGTCACCCACCACAGAATTGTTGTAT